AGCCACCGGGTCCGGGACACGAACCGTGGTCGACTACGTGGGAATCCAGCGACATAGCCATTACGCTAACTGCTGGTTCCCAAGAAAGAAAGAAACTTTTAACAAATTAGGTCAGTTTACATGTGCTAGTATAAAAGATTCCAAAATGAAAATATTAACAAATGTATTTGTATACATTGGTATATAAATGTGAGGGAGATTACCTTTCACTTTCTACTACATACATTTGTTTTTGGAATTTTGAACATATGCTTTCCTTTAAAAAAAAACATTTAAAACTAAATGTTGACTGTCTTAGATATTATTATATATTTATTGCTGTTTCCAGTTATGTGTAGAGATAGCTACAGAGACTGTTAAATTACATAACTCAGAGCTTATTATCAATGCTTCTGTTTACTCTAGTATGGAATTTTTTAAACAATTTCAAGTAATTTGAGAAAGTACCGTGGAATACTTTAGGAAGTAAAATTTCTTATAAGTATAGGAGTATAGGATTTCACTTCAACTTTCATCTCAAATGAAAGCAAATACTTCCTCATCTTTTCAGACATTATTTATATTATCTATTATGTATTTATATACTTATATATACATAAGTATATATATGTGTGCACACACACTTACATACAAATATATGGTACTGGTACCCTCAGACTGAGAAATTCCAAATGAGACTAAATGGAAATAATAGTTTATTCCCATTTGCCAGACTAATTTCTATGACCTTTCATTGTAACTTCTCTGATTCCCTCCTGATCACATCGTTTTGAACCAATTTATGTTTTCAACCCCAAATCTTATCTAAAGGCAGAAACTCAAAAACCCATTAAACTGTGTGATTAATTATTCCTTCTAAAGCACACTTCATTCAGCAACTCCTAGCTCAAGAACTCGAGGATTTGATAAACAGTTCTGTATTCACAGGAAGTATGACTTCCGGGAAGCAGGAGAAGGTTAGGTTCTGCATATGAGCTCTGGAGCCAGATCACGTGGGTTTACGGTGTACATAGATCACATGACTTTGGGAAACTGTGATAGGCAGGTAGCTAGTAATGAGCGGGCAGCCCTGAGGAAGTGATAGACGGACACATGCCACATGGATCACAACTCATCAGAAGTTACAACCAGACCCTCCATGAGATGCTTTCTTCCCACCCAGCTCCTGGAGCCAGGAAGGCGAGGCAAATCCCATTTTCCTTCCTTGGTACCAGAGGAAGACACATAGGGATGATTGTAAACTTCCCTCTTATCATTCCTCATAAATACAAGAAGACCCAACCAGACATTTGGTGAACATCCTGATCCCCACTGGGGCAATAAAGTAAATTGGGCAGTTCATCCTAATTAGAATGCTCCTAGCGCCATGGCTCACTGGGCATGCGCAGTGAGGTAATCAAATACCTCACATTCTTCACCTGTGAAAGAGATGCGCGAACTCAGGAGAAAGCCCTGGAATTCAAACAAACAACACAGATACTATGACAGCCCTCCCCCTAGTAAATATTCATATCACCTCTAGTAATAAAAACAACACCTACCCAGATCCAAATGCAGTGGCCACAGAGTAACCTGCCCGCCCCAATGTCTCTTGGGTGAACTTTTCAAAAATGTTTCTTTCCAATGAAATTCTCTTTTCTACCTACTCTTATTGTGGCTGTGGCTTTACTGTGTGCCTAGGGACAGGTCTCTAATTTTAGAGATCTGGATCCAAAGAACCAAAGACTTTGCACGACACAGCTCAGCAGTCTCCTATCCGATGACAAAACCTGCTTCACATCACCATCTCAGTTTTCTCATCTCTAAAATGGGACTGCTCTCTGAGGATGATTTTAAGGATTAAAGCGGATTAAATAATCCCTTAGAACAGTATTGCTAGTATGATATTTTAAAATTTTAACTATATTTATTCAGTTAAAATAAAAATATATAGTTCTGACAGGAATTGAAGGGTTTCGTTTATTCTCATTTGGCAAGCTTCTAATTTCCAGGAGCTTTCACTGCTCATTTTGTGTTTCTCCTCTCCTGTATTTTGTGAAATATCACCACAGGTATACATAGTACTTTAGGGTTTTTATTTATTTATTTATTTAGCAAGAAACGTATGGGATACCTACCATGTGACAGAGATTAGTCTAACCAGCTGATGAATAGCCCCTCATTTTATTTTCTTAACATCCCCATACAACACATGCTACTACTTATTTTCATTGTAAAGACAGCAACCATTTCATAGAGTGTAGGTAAAGTCAGACTGCAAGATAAGTAAGAGCTGGAAAAAAGAACTGAACTGAGGCACTCTGGCTCCTGAGTCAGTGCTCGAACCCCTCTGAGCCTCTCAATTGTGCCCTTGAGGGCAAACACTTTCCCAGCATGGCTGTGAACCTGGGAAAACCTGCTAATGGAACAATCATGAACACAGAGAGGAATGAATGATCTACCAAATGTTTCCTGTGGGCAAACACTTTGAAACCTACAAGTAAAATAATACTCCCCTGTACTGTAGAAGTGAGCAGTATAGATCAGTTCCTCATTTTAAAGTTTCCCACAATTTGGCATTTTAAAAATTATCCAAAATGTGACTTCCAGTTTTCATATTATGAAATTAGAATTTCCCTTGCTTAAAATAAAACCATTCTCAAACTCCATTAGATAATAAATTTGGGACCACAGCGAAATTTACAATGAACTACATAGGTTAAATCACTCTACTTAAAAATGAAAATGAGCAAGTTTGCTTTGTATTCCTTCTGCTACAGCAAGTAAAAATACGTACATGTTTAAATTATGTATCATTACATTAATAATATTTTTAATCTATTCCTGAGGCTCTACTTATCTGCTTCAAACTGTTCCTTCAAACTGTTCGACCATTAGGAGTGTCAACCATAATCATTAGGCACTGTACAGTTTCATATTTCTTAAGAATTATTTAATTTTCTTTATTAATTTATTTATTTCAATTTGACCAAAGAGATGGACACACACAGAGAGAGAGAGGGAGAGAGAAAGTGAGAAAGCAAGCCATCAGGTCCAGGACTCGAACAGTGGTTGGCCATGTGGGAGTGTCCAGTACCTTAAGTACCATGCCATCCCTGGCCCAAGCTTCATATTTTAAAATGTCTAGTGGGATAAGGATATTTTTATTCTCAAAATCCCAAGCCAAGTCACTCCAAAATATCTGATCAACCAAACCCCACAGTCTAGTCCTACTCCTAGGGTAAAATGTGTGGCAAGAAATATGAAGTAAAACTCACCATACGGAACTCCACATCCTTCATAAGATCTTCTAATTTCC